TCAGCAGGATTTTGTTGTAGTCCTGATGGTTTCAGGGCATAAATGTAACAAAGTTTTTAGGCAGAGGGATCATCTTTTATCAAATGCACCTGTTTATCTGGAAAATTAAGACAAGCTTCTGGATGGACCTCATACCAATACACCACTGACTCAACAGAAGCACATAACCTTCACATAGTTTCCTAGAGGGTTTTAACTCCCTCCTTTCTCCTAAGTGACAAGTGTTTTCAAAATACTTTCTCCCTTGCCTCAGGAACATGCCCTGTACTCCTGGGATGCCAGTAACCTTTTCTTCAGACATAGTCTACTTCATACACACCTAACCAAACTCTAAGCAGTCGTTCTGTATGTAGCTTGGAAGTTGCTGTTTCACTTTCAGACCTGAATAATGACTCGAATGCCTGAAAGTGTATTTGATTTTTCCAGATGTACCACTTAAGTGACACTAGCCATACCTATAAACCTTGTCTAACTTATGCAGAAACTATCATAGGTGTCTCATCCTTTTCTGCCCTTCTTCTTGTGCTGTCACTAATGCAGAAAATAAGTAAGGCTGTCCTGATAAGCACAGTGCATCCCTATGAACACTGAGGTAAGTAGAGCTACAAGCATGCCAACACTCTACTCAAAAAACTAAGTTGCTTAAAACTGTGCAGAAGGTTTTACCTCTAGGCCTGTGGATGTTTGCAAAATGAGGTATCCTTTTTAATTACATCAGATTTTATGTAATACACATATTAGGCAGGCTGTACACAGAAGCATGTGGAAGTGTGAAATTTTGTCTGCTTAACAAAAATTAGGGACATATGATACACAACAAATAATTATTCTCGGTTTAATAAATGATAAAAATACAGATATGATACTATGTGGTCAACCCTAGCAATGGCCTGCAATGCTTTACAGAAGAAATTTTGGTTTAATTCTCAAACATGCTCCTTACCCACAGCAGGGTCTTGTAATCAGCAAGGCCAATTTTTCTTCCTGAGTCAGCCAGTACTTACATCCTGGGGCAGGATGATTACAAAACATGTAACTAGAGATATTCACCCCTCCCAAAACGAGGGACTTTTAAGTACATATTACTCACAAAATAGTTTCCTTCTATCCGTTTCAAATTTGTTTCTTGAATTAACAGTAATGCATTTTTAATACAACATAATAGCATGTTATTAGATGGCATGACTAGGTTGCTTTTTGGCTAGAGTTTAGAAAGGAAATTATTTCTGAACCCTGTTTGCGCAACAGTGTATTTTATATTAAAATTATCATAAGACAAAACATGTAACAGAAATAAAACCCTAAAATGTATAGCAGACCGCTCTGACAGCCATGTTCACTAACAAACTCTGGATCTGGAGTTCTCTTTGGAACAGAGAACCTCCATCCCTGGCTGAAGAGGAGGAAACATTTCCACACTCCCCTCCTACCACACCACACTGACTTTCAGCCTGGTGCTTAGGGTGTACTGGGGTTTGAATCCCCTCAGGCAGTGGCAGGAACAGGACTAAACTAACTTCAAGTGGTGGACGCAGCAAGCACTTGTAAGGACAGATGATATAAAATGCAAGTATCAGTGTATGTGATTTCTCTTGTACCTTTGAAAGAAAGGGTTTAATATCTGCTTTCAGGAAGGCAGATGCTCATGGTTCTGAATCCCAAATAGAAAGAGTTGTCTAAATCTTCAGGGAGAAGTAGAATTAGGACTAGTACATATTTCCTGATAGATATTTTGGTGGCAACTCACTGAGCTTGCCGGAGTTTGTAGAATCAGTTAAGGTACTTAAAGACTGATAGATAAGCAGTGTGACAGCTGTTACTATCCAGGCCTTTCCACAGGCAGGGACACTGGATCTACTAATGAACCAGATCTCAAAATGCTCCAGTTTTCATTTAGTCTGTTACGGTGAACTAATGAAATCTGCAATTGAGAGTATCTAAGCTCATAAAACAGCTTGCTTGTAATGGAAAAGTGGTTTTCCTTGCTACACGGTGGTGTTTCTTCCTCGTGCTACATCCAACACCTGTTTGACCTCCCTGTGACTCAGTCCAGTTCACCAGTGCAGAGGGAGACAATGCAGCTTCCCAGGAGGGAGGGGAGGTTTGGGAAGTTAAGTCTTCTGACTGCTGACCTCTTATCAATGGGTACCAAAGCTGGCATGATGCAGGCAGCAGGAGCATGCAGCTGAGACTTGTGGAGGTGGATAAGAGTGAAGAAGATAGGAGGTAACTGGGACTCTTTCCTGTTTGATAATGAGAAACTAATACATTGCCTAATCGAGCCTCTGGAAGTTGCAGGTATGCTTTGCAGTGAGGCAAGGCATACAGTGGGAAACTAATACATTGCCTAATTGAGTTTCTGGAAGTTACAGATATGCTTTGCAGTGAGGCAAGACATGATGTTCATGGATATGAATTCTGCTGTCGGAGCCAGGAGTGTCACAACACAGAGTGTCACAACTTTTATGGCTTTCTGCAGGTCTGCATAAACAGCCAATCTCTCCATTCTGTTTTCTTGGAATGTTTAAAAAATGTGGTCAGAACCCTCCCATGCTGCCAAATTAATATTTCTATTAGCCTTTCTAATCCAAAATGAATACATCGATATAGCTACTAGTGCCTTATTACAGCAAGAACTGGAGGTATTACCTAAATATTACACTTCAGGAAAATGTAAAAAACAGTCTAATACCTCTGTAAGTCTTCAGTATCTAGACAGTTTTCTTTTGTTAATCTGAATATTTTAAAGCG